CGCCCCGGCGGAAATATATGGTAACAACCATTAGTTATATTCTTGCATCTTTTTTCGTCGAAATAACTATGAGTCCTTTTGCTTGTAATAGTATGTTTTCTGTAGGAAGTGACGCCAATCTAAGGTTACAGACATGAGTCAAAGTGGTATTTGGCATAATTAATTTGCGTCAGTTGTTTTCGTTATTTACATTCCACTTGACCATAGTGAGCAATAATTCTAAAAACTGTTTCGTCCTACAAGCATAAGTTGGTTGAAGTTATCTCCCCATTATTTAGCTTAAATAATTATGTAAGTTATTAGGTACTGGTCAGATTATATATGGCTTAAAGCATTTATTGGTCCACAGTATGCATCCCAAGCAGAGTTGTTAAATAAATGTAATCTATAAAAGTGGATATCAGTTCATTCGTCCAGATATACTGAGTAATTTTCAAAATATTTTCCAAAGTGGCATCGCGTTCACGTTAAACACCAGATCCAGTCTCCGCAATATTGTGTTAGGATTTTGGTCGTGTTAAGTATTTATACACAACAGCTTTTTAAGTTTATAGTTGTTATAAAGTAGACTTGTAGAACACTTGGTGTGAACTATGACCCTGGGAAAACACGAACGTCTAGCTTGTCTCAGATGTCAGAAGTTCCATAGCTTGCCCTCAGAACAAGAGTCTGAAAAAAAGGGAAACCAAGGAGTAGCAAGACACTTGGATATGAACGACCGACAATACTTAACTGTTTGTAGTGGAAAAGACAGATGTATGATAAATCATTAGATTAAATTCATACTAGCTCTTGTAGCTATAGTGAACTGTGATCAGTCTCCAAGTGAGTGAATGTAGCAATAAAGAACAAAGAATTGTGATATTTAACAAGGTGGAGTAAGTCCAAATGAAGGAAGGGAAGTCAAGGTTGGAATGAGGAAGGCTGTTTCATTAGAACAGGAAGTATATATATATATAGTAAAGTCCTAAGAAAACTAATAACGACATCTTTCATTGTCTGTTTTAAAAAAAATTTTCCAGCCAGTTCCTGCCAAACAGTATTAATGCGAAAGTCCGATTTAGCATGTTATAGGTTATTTCAGTAGAGTAGCTAGTTCAGCATAAACTTGGAAACATGTGTTTGAATGGGGAGCGCAGGGGAAGAACCTTAATATCACAGATTGATTGAACTGTTCTCAAACATAAAGAGCCTGATACAAACAAAACATTCTGCCCCCCAAACTTTGGTGGAAAATAATCCGTTCTTTTCTGGATGTACCATTTTCATGGTTGATAGAGTTCTTTATGGACAGTTTCTGGGTGTTTCTGGTTTTTCACCCTAGTAGACTTCAGAATCATTAAGGTTTTTTCAATCGTGGTTCAAGGCATTTCTAAGGCCACGTATGTGTAACACCATTAGTATATTTCGGATTTCAGCTGTGTATGTTAGCAAACACAGCCGTGTATAGGTCAAAAAAGGGAGTGGAGTTAATCTTCAAGACAGTTCATTAAACGATGTATCTGTTGATGAATAATATCCCAGTAAATAATTATACCAAGATCACTGGGACAGTCATATCAATATCATAGCGAATATGATAATTAAATATTCATAATATGCTTTTGTATAATCAAAGATACTGAAATATGCAAATATTCTCACGAAGAAATTGATATAAACCATACTTATAGTGTGAACAAGTGGACGTAAGTAAAAATAATTCAATTACATAATTGATGTAGCAACAAAATATTTCAAATTTCCATTGAAGATGCTTGTAGGAATGAACGTTCTATCAGGTTCGTTTAGTTCATATCTGAAAGAAAGTCAGGTTTTATATGTGTATCAAGGAAACGGTCATAAACAAGGTGGCCTGCTTGAAATCTGGGCTATCTGTTCCTGCCATTTGGATATTTTAACAAGTTATTTGTTTTCTTGTTGGTTTTAACACGTCGTTATGCCTGTTATGCGCATAAGCTACTCAGGTACATTTGTGAAAGTTTTACGGCATCTCGCTCTACAAGTTGCGAAACAAAACAACCAGAGACATCGTGGTTGTTGACAATGTGCATCGAAAAAATATGCAGTAATCAGACGTTGATTTCTGAACCGCTAACATCAAACTGATAACTACTCAATATTTATAGCTAGCGTCAATCAGGGAATCAGAAAAAAAACGTTTTGGAATACTTTGCACTGAAAATTCCATATTGCACCGAAAACATAATACTGAAAAAAGCTACTAATAATGTTATAGCGGTAAATTAATCCCCATTGTTTTTTGATGGACTCACCTAGTTGAAGGCGTTCGGTCATGCATCCGCACCAGATCACGAGTGGAAACACCATGCACAACTTCCCCTGCAGTCGCTAGCCACTTTAGGTCAGTCGATTTCCAACATATTGATAGCCCACCAAATATATTTTTGAACCTCCACTAGGTGGGCACGATTCAATTATAGAACGTGTTAACGGTTAAAGTGCTATCAGACTCCAAAATATCTGTGTCATCTTCATATCCATTTGGCTCAATAGAGTTCTGTCATTTTGGATTTGTGTATGTTGAGGCCTACTGCCTCAAAAGCTGCTGTTACACAAACTGTCTTCACCTGCTGCGTATAGGATAGAAAAGCTATGTCATCTGTAAAGTCAAAACCATCTAGCTGCATATCTGTTGGGGACGGCTCTCCATGAATTCAAAAAAACTCCAGAAGGGCCAAAGACATAACACTCAATCATTTGGAAGAACACCAGGAATTTCGAATTGCAGCTTTCCATAGGGATAAATGTTAAGGCCCTTAGCATGAAGACCAGAAGATTTTGTTGACGAATTCGTTTTCTCTTAAAACGATAATTACCAAGTGTTTCGTACCATATCCGACTGGTTGGAATAAGATTTCCTCTCATTCGTCTTCTGTCTTGAGATATGGGATGTTCAAGCTTCCAAGTGCTCAAGTTATACACGGTATAGCAAAAATTCGAGTTCTAGATATAAAGTACCAACCCGTGATACCCTGATCACCGGTATATAAGTGTTTATCTAAAGGGATTTTATGCCTGGCATTCATTTCATACCGACGACATGTTTGTTTAGTATCCTAAGACTCATTATATTCGGTCGTTAGGTCACCTTCGTACTAACATGCATCGATCGATGCTTATCTTAATAGTGCTCTCGGAACCCTCTTGTCCCAAATCGTCTTGATTTTGAAGTATGGACCTAATTCACACTTCGCAAATAAGGAATGTAACTGATGAGGTCGAAATGTTTATCAGATATGCTTATTCACGGCCTATAGGCCGAGAATGCAATACTGGCTAGACGAAAACAGAGACAAAAATACAAGAAGTGATATCACTTTTCGGAATAATTGGCTACTGATTTTAGTTTATTGGAAGATATGTACTACTTGCTCCAGATTCGCGTAATAATCATTAGCGTTAAGAAACTGGCATATGGAGTAATCGCTCACAAATAATTCTAGTGAAGCGGATGGCTTTATTCTCTTCTTTTCGAAAAATAAAGATCTGGTAATATCACATATATCAAAACCTCATTGCGTTTAAATATTTTTATTACCATACTTCAAGTCTCTCGTCACCGGAATTCTGAACTGTGAAGTTTGTAATTTTTTAATCAACACATACATCTCAAATGTTTTATGAAGGTAGCACAACTAGTTATTACTCCTGAACATCAGGTCATAACAGCTTGGAATATTAAACAGAACAAATTTGACTGAAGATATACGAAGTGTAAATCATCAACATTGATTATCTCTGTCGGATGACTAGGGACCTACCAGATTTAGACGGGATGGTATGACCAATAGCTAACGTCAAAGTCACACATAGGGGTCAGCACCTAACATGGATTACTCCTTCGTCGTATCAAAGTAATATGAATGCTTTGAAGACGGTACAACACGAAGGACGTTATTACAGAAATATGTTATTTAAAGTAGGCACAAGCGAATGTTTGACCGTCACTGCATTGGCTAGTCTACGGCGTACGATTAACTGATGTGCGTTAGTTGTACTTGACGTTGACAGGGATCGATGACCTGTTCGATATTCAGTAATCCAACTTCCGGATGAACTGGTGAGGGTTCAGTTACATTTCACTGGCTCTAAAGAAATTTCGGCTGTTTTTACTTTATAACCGTTGCTTACCATATTAAAAGCCCAAATATCCAGTTTTAGGGTAATTAGGACTCAACAAAGTCATTTCGCTAGCCATTATCATGAAATCTACTCAAACGGTCTTTATGCTAGCATATAGCGCGTAACTAGACCAGATTCGTTGTGAGGACTTCACTAATAAATAATGTAGTTATGGAAGTTTAATATCACTCAAGTTTGAAAACTATAAAACCACATATTTTGTCCTTATGGCCTGTTGAAAAACCACGCGACTAAATCGCTGGCTGAAATATGACTTAATCAAGCTGACACGGGAACAAACTAACGACGCGCGAACCTGTAGAAACAGTCCAAAGTCAAACTCCGAGCCCTGATCGGAATTTTTGCCTAGCCCTGCCTGTTCGAATCCAGAACACAGCTTCTACTGCATGAGTCATGTATTTCAGATACAAACAGTTTATATACAAGCAAATCAGACCGCACCATACAATCATGGATAATGATTAGTCAGTATTTTTTATAGTGTAATAAATAACAGCCGAGTCAAGATACGGTGACAGTTTATGCCTTATTTAATATTATGGGACATTCAACGAAAGGGTTAGTATAAAAACTAAGCGAAATCAACAGGAACCAGTTGATTTTCATGATGTGTGTAAGTGTTCTGTATTGAAAAACTATTTTACAGAAGACAAATAGGATAACTATTGGTTATTTGAAATCAAAATCGAATTTTGAAACAATATGAACAAAAGTATATAGATATTGCCTTATTAACCTATTTGAGCATCTAATGAATTCATGGTAGAAACAATATCTAACAATGAAAATATACAATGGAATATATCCTAGGCAAAGTATTGTAAATATTCTTATCATTCATGATAATTTGTTTCTGGTAGAGCTAATCCAACCATTTTAGCGGCTTCCTCAGTTGTTTTCTCTTTGGATTTATACAATTCCACGAGCTCCTGAGAAATAAAAAAGGATACTAATAAGAACGCAGTACAAAGTCAGGTACTTTCTTTTCATAATATATTACTTATCATAAAAAGATAATTATGTTGTTTCCATTACTGAATTGAATAAGATGAGTTTTAAATTATTATTACTCATATAGAAATTATTAATTACCGTTCCAAAAAAAGATGACAAAAGATTCCTTGCACATAGAAAAGGAAATCTACTTTCTACTTGGCTATGAGTGACTAAAAAAACTAACCCAGATTGTATAATGTGACATAAGTATATAACAAACTATATATTTTCTAGATTAGCTTAGTGAATTTCAAGTGATTTAATTAAACGATTATTCGCAAAAATTCCTAAGTAAATACGAGGCGTCTTTGAAAAAAGGAAATGAAATATCCTACAGTTAAGAAGAAACCTATCTTCTTAAAAATAGGCTTAAACGTGATGAAATAGCTGGAAGGATTGATTTTAGACTAAAGGCAATACTAAAATGAACTTATCCAGCAACCAAGTTGGTGTCCCTATATCAAACTAAATGCTCATTGAGCCAATTAAATGTGGACATATACCCGGCTTATACTACTTCTAATTGTGTTTACCAGTTTATATGTATGTGCCAAAACACATACATCAAAAGAACAGAATGGAGGGTTTGTGTCCGTATCTCTGATCATATTCCTCAAAAATTGAGACTAATCAGGTAGGTTTTTTATAGTGCGATCGCTCATCATTTACTCGATAGTGGGTATGTTGTTGAAATTGTGAAATCGTTCAAAATAATCAACAAATAAAGGGAATCCAGACTGTTATGTTTTGCCGAAGCTGTTGCAATAAAGAGATTTGAACGGAATTTATAAATCCAAAAGGAAACAGTTATAAATCTTGTTTTATTCTAGTGACCTTATTTTGTGTGAGATTATTACGTAAGGCTTTGTTTTTATTTTCTTCATAAACTAAAATCAAAATTCTAGTATTCTAATTCTCACTTTTGAGCTTTACTCAACTAGTTCATATTACATAATCTATCTTCTGATTCAAGAAGAAAATATATTTTCTTGTTTCCATACTCTTCTAGAATATTTAAATATTCGATCCATAAATAAGCCAACGTTTGAATAATTTTAACTCTTAAGATTATTCTACCTTCATAATTTAACTCAGTTTATTCTAAACATTTCTGATGTAAAATATGTACAAATTGTTTTAATGAATAATACTATAGCTTAAGGTTCTAAGCAACTGAGGAGAATCCATGAAATAAATCCACGTTACTCTATTATTATATTTGTTCGTTCTTTATTAGGAGGGATTTTTGTGGAAATTTTTAGTAATTTCAATAGTGGAAATCATGAGTCAATTGAAGTTAGACCACCATGGGAAACCTGGAAGCACTGGACGACGTTTCGTCCTAGTATGGGACTCCTCAGTAGTGCGCGTCCATGATCCCACAACCCGCGAGATCCGAACCCAGGACCTACCAGTCTTGCACGTGAGCGCTTAACCAGTATACCACTGAGCCGGCATCCAACGATGTTAATGTCTAACTTCAACTTCTTTCTTTATTGTTAGTGTCTAACATCAACTAGTCCACGGACTAGTCTAACACCAACTGGTTCATGATCTCAATCAAAAACTTAATAATCTCTACAACCCCTATACTGATAGATTGTATTCGTTCGCTTAAAGATGAAAGTAAATTTATAGTAAAACGTATACAGATAGAGAAATAAATAAATAATGACCTACTTAAAAATAGTTACTTACTGAATGTTTTCGTAAATTCTGCAAATAATTTAAATATGTTTCAGCTAGATGAACACTTTCATTTTCTCTAGCACATTTTTGAGCATCGGTTAAATGATTATTTCTAAATTCAGAAATAACGTATTGCATTACTGGTGAATAGTCAAAAGGCTAAATGAAAATGAATAATTTGTCAATAAAATATTTCTAAAAAAAATTACTAACCGCTTTTTGATTCTTTCGAACATGTCGAAGTTCACGGAGAATATTTCGAAATAGCTGAATCTTCGATGACATTGTCGACTATTCGATGATGAATTTATCTATAGTTAGTGGTAGGATAAGTATCTCATGACGAGAAAATGTAACGAATTATTTTAAGTTAAAAAATGTTGCCCATTTTAGAGATTTGACTAATTAGTGTAAAGCCATTTCATTACGAAACTACATTATTTTTTTAGGATCAATAAACATCAGATTTAATAAGAACCACTTTGTAATTTCACTACTATTTATAGATATTCATGCTGAAGTCCTAGAGAAAATTATTTCATATTTATTTGTTTCAGAATAAAAGGATCATACAGATCATCACATAGGAATCAAGGGACTTCAAATCTATGTCAAAAATGATATGGTCAGTTATAAAGGATATGCAATCTTACAAGAGTCTGTATCGGCTATAGTTATTACGATTCACATTAAAAAAACAATGTACACGTGAACGAGACGAAGTTTTATCTCAAGTCTTTTAACGGTCAGTCAGTCAGCTACAACGTAGGACCAAGTATATATATGCATCGGTCCAAGTTGGCAAACCGCATTAGCACAACAAGATGAACACCGGATTCATAATAGTAGCTAAGTCAATGGTGGTAATATATAAAAGAAAGATTGCAATAAGGATATAATACAGGAAAAAAGATTTAGTACGTAGAAAGAGAGATATGAAGCGATCTTAATCTCTTAGTTTAAGAGAAGACAGAGAGTGTATACACCGATGCCATCGTGATCGATTCTGAGCCATGTCACCAAGAGTCTCCAACCATTGGTTACGACAGTCACGTGGACCCCAACCAAGTAGTCTGCATCTACCAATACGGCTCAGACTAGAAGTTAGTGACTTCAAGCACTGATGCCACGTTTTGTTTTGGCCGCCCCTAACTTTCTCCCAACCATCCCCAACACCGGTTAGCATTGCACGTCGTGGTATTTGGTGTTCAGGCATACGTAACATGTGGCCCAACCGTCTCAGACGATGAAGATTCACAACTGATCTACAATCATTCCCTAATACCCTGTGTCTAACCTCACTATTACTTACCCCGTGATCCCAGCAGATGAGAGTAATATTTCTAAGACATCTGTGGTCAAATACTAGTAGCTTACGAGTATCTTCTGCCCTTAGTGGCCACGTTTCGTAGACATAAATAGGACAGAATGAACTGCCGCACAGTATGCTCGTCCTTTTATTGATAGACGGATATCTCTCCTTCGCCATAGGTCACGTAAGTTCGCGAAAGCCAAATGACCCTTCTGAACCCGCGAGGAGATTTTGTCAGGCACCAACCCTTTTTTATTTATTTATTTACTTATTTTAACACATAGATATTGGTACAAGGGAGCACCAAATACATATGCGCCACACAAATCTCATTCGATGTGTGAGGGCTGTGATACTGCCCGGGTGCCCAAACCAAAGCAGGTGGTTTTCTTAGGGGGCCACTCCCCGAGCCTTTGATCTGAGGGTCTGATCCACAAGGCAGTGGAGCAGCGTCAGGAGATGCAGTCCCATGGGAGCCAGTGACCAACAATTGGTTCATATGCCATTTGTTCCCGCAGGATACTGGAGCCCATGTGCACCATTGGTTTGGGATCCGGTTAAAGCGACGGACATAAATGTAGTAATAGTAGGAAGTTATTTTGATGTCTAAGTAGGCAATACAAACTAAAGTGAAAGGCACTCATGTGAATCTTAAGTTGGTGAAGCTCAGAGGACAGAAAATGATAACCCACTGCAGCAACTATCTTCAGATAACTGTTTATTCTCAACAAGGAAGGATATCACTTATCATGACGACTCCCAAATTCGACTCAACGATTAACGCGAGTGGACTAAATTGCCATCAGTCATCTTTGAAGAGGCTCGATAAGAGATCCCCTCTAACCTAGAGCACGTGTTTAAACTCATAAAATGTTGTAATACAAACACTGTCTTAAATTTAGAATATATTCAGTTGTAAAACTGGCCGCCATAATATATAATGCACCAGCTCGTGCTAACCTTACGTACACAGTTTATGTGTTGTTAAGAGACCTCGTCTTAACTGTATGTTGAAGTTTCCAAAAGGCGAGTGCGCTTTACGAAGTGATGAAAGTCTTCGTTAACAGGGTCAATCTATTTATCATAATAGAAGGTCATATTAAGGACTGACGAGTCCCCCATTTTCCACCTAGGTACAGTCAATTTAAAATACTTGGGTACCATCAAGTAACTGATTACTTTATGGTTAGATTTATCCCACAAGAGGTTTAGAGATATGACTAAGACAGTTATTACTGCTACTGACAAATCTATTTTGGAATGTATTGAAAGCACTGCTTTAGACCTTGACAACAATGCTATGTGTTAAATATTTCTGTCCAGAAAACAGATCGCAGACTGCTCCTTTTTATTTAGAATGCTTAATCTTGAAAACTATGTAATCCCACCTTTTTATTTAAACTTTTGACATCTAACAACAGTAACCCACCTATTATTTTGTTTTGACTTACGTAGCACTATCACTGAATCTGTTGTGAGATATAGATAACTATATACTTGGATATGAATGGTGTTGAGGTGCAGAATATCCAGTTTACACAACCCATTCATCAAAACACATTGCCAACGTTGTCAATCTACATGATACTTTGGGTTCATACGCCACCTTTCCTTCGGAGTCGTACATGAGTGATAAAAAAGACAGTTCACTGCTGATACGTTGCAGCCAAACAAGATTTTGAGCGTTATACTGGAAATATATCATTTCTCATTCGGCTGAAAGACAGGGACCTTGTTGTCGATACAGTGAATTTAGTTCACTACGAATCTAATAAACAGTTAATTACTTGAAAAGACACTAGGTTTAGGATATGGGTACATCAAATCTCGTTCTTATGTTAACCCCGTAGATTTTACCGTTAAAAACTTCATTTCTAGTGATATAAGTATACCTGTTTTCAGTAGTTAATCTTGAGAGAACTTGGCTAACTATTAGTGATAAATTATATTAGTTTACATCTCACTGATACGTCGAGAAATTATAATTTTAATATTGTTTAAGTTTACTAAAACCAAATAATTGACGCACTTAAATGCGTCTGACAATTGTCAATTTAAAATTGAACAAGATGTATTATTGAGTCACAAGTAAGTGGAAAATGTTTAAAAAATAGGCCTTTGTAGGCACAAATAAAGTTAAAACCTACTAGAAATATCTGCCAATACAGAAACAAGTGACCCACAAATCAAGCAGTACGCTTGTCCTTCAATGTTCAAATGGTTGTGGACGGAATAGAAGAAGCTTTCGTTTAACAGGCTTCCGTGTCTAGTAGCAGGGGATCACCAAATCCTCCAGGCAAAAACCTTAGTATGTTAACAACAAAAGAGGAAAAAGAAATTGGCAACTCATAGTATGATGCTGTCCTTGGTCCTTAAGAATAGATCAAGTTGCCTCTTGAATGACTCCTGAGAAGTCGCTTGGACTAGCTCGGCCAGCAGCGAATTCCAGAATTTGACAACTCCTAAGGAATAGAAGTTATGTCTACATTCCGTTTTGCTATGTTGTGGCTCCAGTTTCTGGGTGTTACCCCTGAGTCAAATTAGTAAAGAAAACTTACATGGCTCATTATATTTTATTTTAAATATCTAATCGCTTTGGGGAGATCATTCTTGGCTCAGCATTGCTCTGGTAGGTTTGAACCATATTAATCCAGGGGAGGATTTCGTGCTATTTGGGAATCAGTTATATGTGCCTGTATCCTAGAGTTGATATTCACTCCAAGACTCGAAAATAGTACTCTTTACCCGAAGTGCAATCGCTTCGTCTTTCTTTTCTAAAGAACTGAGACTCACTTAAGCTCAACGTAAGGTCATTTGCCAAGTCCGTCCTTTTATTTATTTATTGCGTCATTCACTATTCCAACTCTTTCTGAAATTTACAATTACATCATTCATAACTGGCCAATTTCAATTCATATCTTTCTTCATTACCATTAATCTACTTTCAGCTACTTCATTACATAATAATCTGTGCTTTTAATTCCTTCAGCTTCAGTAAGCTAGCAATGATTTCTGATTCGTATATAATGTGATGAACTTGTTTTGTAAAATCTCGAGGACTGGAGGAACTTGGGAAGCTTCCTTCGGGACGCTAATTATCTCGTTTCTGTTGAAACCAGTACTTTATGAAAAACGTAATCGGTTCCGCAACGTTTTCAGCCAGCTAAGTGAAGAAACCAAGAACTTCACCTGATGCGCATTTCATTAATGCAAATAGGGTATTGTTGATTAGATACGTTAGTAGAATTTTCCGATGAATCATCGACGTATATCTGTAGAAAGGATCTATCATCAAGCGATTTGTCCATAAATCTTTAGAACTTTAGTAGTTCAAGTGACATACACACAAACTTGAGCGACTCAAAGGCCGTAGTTATGGTTGTATTAGGAATATTTTCCCCAGCGACTGTGAATTGCATTGAATAAGTCAATCTTAGTGAATATGTTCGTACCTCGTAGGTGGTATGTTTCATCATGAGTATCAGGTACGGGGTCCCTACCTGGTTCAGTTCGATATTTAGTAGCTTTGTGATCCACAAACGGTCCGTCAGTTAACTTTTTCTTACTAAGAGATCTCACAACCGAAATGATGTGTAGTGATAGATGAACTAACTTAGAAGCCACTCACAGCTGCGGAGTATATGAAAGTCTTCAGGGAAGAATTCACAGACTGTTGTGCCGGGACATCCAGTAAAAATCGAAATTCCAGTAAGACTAGTCGTCACCACAATTTATCATAAAAACTTAAGGCTAAAAGGGGGTATCAGCTTAATTAGCTTTCCCCTCAAGAAAGTAAGAAATTGCCTACTGAAATGTGGCTTTAGTCTAATCCACAACCTTTGCTTTCGATGTAAATAACTTTTCAAGTATGTCCGAACTCTATTTAATAGATAGTTGTATCCATACGGAACTAAAGCTCAGTGCTATGGCGGGATAATTATTAAGCATAGTTGAACCGCAGATTTAACACATA